CACTCTCAATGATCGTGCCAATTCTTCTTGATTTTGACACGAATCTTGATCATGTAATGCCTCCAATTCTGCATCTTCGAAAACCTTTTCTCTTCCACCGCTATGCCGGTCTTCGATATCAAAATCACCGTTCTTGAAGCGTTGACTCCACTCACGACACGTTCTTTCACTAATAGCGGCCTCACCATAAGTATTTGAGAGCATTCGATGAGCCTCAGTCGCAGATTTCTTCATATTGAAGCAGAAAAATAAAACCTCCCGCAAATGACGAGAATTTGGATCGTAAAGTGACATTTTCAATCGAGAATAACTTTATGATGCAGACACAGATCGACTAATGTTTCTATTGGGTTATGTTGACAGATGCCCAAGTTTATTGTATAACGTCTATGATCTATTTATTTCGACCACCACTTACCGCTAAAGCCATCTATGGGAAAACGGCGGAAGCAAAGTTGTACACCTAATATATACACACACACAAATATTGTTTATATCTACGAATAAAAAAAATGCGACACACGCACACACATGCAACCATACACACAAAATTTTGTTGTTAGAAGAAAAAGAGAATCATTGTAATCCATATAATCTTAGTTAGCGCTATGTAAATTAGTTTAAATTTTTATGAATAAATTTAAGTTTTTTTAACAATAATATCAAGAATATAGAAGGGCAAATTAGAGTCAAGTTTGAATATAATATATGTGTAACACGTTAAAAATTTTTATATTCCAATAAATGGATATAAAAATATAAATATAATTAAAAAAATATAAATATAATTTAAAAACCTTAATATTACATTGTGTTACATTACATGTTTCGGCATCATAATTGTGCCATCATCAGATGCTTCGAATTTGCAGAATAGAAACGCATTAAAGAAGTCAATATTAAACCTTACAAAGGATGTATTGAACTAATCCTATAACGGTATGTGATCCGCCTCTTATGTAAATCAGATCCAACACCATAGATGGAGAGTGAAAACAAATTGTTCGCAATCGGTTGGACGACCGATTGATAGAAAATTTTTCACAATTATGGTCATGGTCCTACATCCTTCCAACATTTGATGTAGATAACATGCGTGTCAAGTTGCTTATATCAGTCATTATAATTATAAGGTCAATAAATATGTGTGAAATTGTTAAAACTGTTAGTCGCCAAGTTAGAGATTAAAATTATATAAATATATAAAATTACTAATCCAAAGTCAATGAATAAAAAATGTATAAATGTATAAAAATATTAGTCAGGCAGTTAAAATTAAGATGTGTAAATTTATGTGATGTGACTGCTATGACAGTCCGATACTGATCGAGTCATTTTTTTTATTCGTAGATATAAACAATATTTGTGTGTGTGTATATATTAGGTGTACAACTTTGCTTCCGCCGTTTTCCCATAGATGGCTTTAGCGGTAAGTGGTGGTCGAAATAAATAGATCATAGACGTTATACAATAAACTTGGGCATCTGTCAACATAACCCAATAGAAACATTAGTCGATCTGTGTCTGCATCATAAAGTTATTCTCGATTGAAAATGTCA